CTTTATTCAGCTTGGGCTTTGTTTTGGAGTTTTTCCATGTATTTCCCGTAGAATTACTTCGACCAGACTTTGGCTTCTAGAGGCAAAATGATGACTCATGATGATTCAATCCATGAGAAACTCCAGCCAAGGAGTCATTGGCCAAACTGCCCCCCAGCATGGTCAGAAACCCCTGGCCAGGCTCAGGGCTGTTTGGGCTGCTGGGCAAGAACTTCTGCAAAATGTGAGCTGCTTTGACCAAACCAATCCAGTTGATCCCAGTTTGGTGCTCTCTGCTCTCCAGGTGGCCTGGCAGCTGTGATCTACACTGATGCTCTGCAGACCCTCATCATGCTGATCGGGGCTGTATCTCTCATGGTTTTCAGTGAGTGTTTCCCTGGGGTCTTACTACTAAAATTATGACAGAAGCTTCACCAAGTTAAATATTAGGGAGAAACTCTTCCCTCTGAGGGTGCTGAGACACAGATTGCCCAGAGCAGCTGTGGCTGCCCCATTCCTGGGAGTGTTCCAGGCCAGGTTGGATGGGGCTTGGAGCAACCTGGGCTGGTGGAAGGTGTCCCTGCCCATGGCAGGGGGTGGGACTGGATGGACTTCAAGGTCCTTCCAACCCAAACCATCCTGTGATTCTTTGGGTGAGCAGCAGTGAGTGTTCTGCTCTCCCCCAGTCCAGTGTGAGAGTCAATAGCTTCTGCCATCCAAAAAATCCTTGTGTAACAACACTCCTAGCAAAACAGAGACTGAGCAGAGCTCTGACCTAGGAAGATGTAATAACTATGCCCCATGACCCATTTCAGGCTTCATTGAAGTTGGTGGCCTGGAAGGTTTGCAAAGGAAATACTTTGATGCCATTCCCAGTATCCGCAAGGAGAACAGCAGCTGTGGCCTGCCCAGACCAGATGCTTTCCATATCTTCAGAGACCCTGTGAACTCTGACCTTCCCTGGCCTGGAGTTTTGGTGGGAATGACCATCCCATCCCTGTGGTACTGGTGCACAGACCAGGTGGGTCACTGCTTGTTTCTTTGGTTGGTTCTGAGAAGATGCTGTTGGTTGGCTGAACCTGATTACAGACCTCGAGGTTCCAATGTTGCCTGGATTGGTTTACTATTTCTGATGGGAATTCAGTTAAATCTGGTGGTTTCAGTCCTAAAGACTCAAACTAAATGTCCGTAACTAAGTGCTGGGAATCATCTCAATGTAGAAAGGGATAAGAACATGTTTGTCAGTTAATCCCAGCCCACAAATCAGGTTTTGGTTGGATTGTTCTTTAACTTAAGCCTTTCACTACTTGTAAACCACCTGTGAACTCCCTTTTTCAACTTTCCAGCGGTCTGACTCCCATCCCTCGAACATCCCTCCTCCATCAGAGCCAGGAAGGTGAAGCCCTAACCCAAGCCCTGATGTTCCTGCTCACTTATTTAACTCACTGCTTGTTTCACACCCTGTCCTGCTCTGACAGGAGAACTGTGGACCTGGCCAGGCTCAGCTAGCAGGTCAGGGAAGTCCCCACCAAAAGAAGAACAGAGAATTCTGAGTGTGATTAGCTCAGGATCAGGTTCTGCAGCTCAGTGTTCTGCAGGGCCAAGGCTCAGCTGGGATGGCACAAGTTGTGCCCTTCAGGTCTGCATTTCTGTCAGGTCCTCAGGATCCAAAGCAACAACTATGAAGCCACAGCCAAGCTCTGTCTTCACCCTTCTGAGATCTCCACAGCTTAGAGGAGACCAAGGTCCCTATCACTCCATCCCAGCCAGCTGCTTCCTGCCAGCAGCCGACCCAACCCAGTTCTTCACTTCTAGGTCATCGTTCAGAGGTCTCTCGCTGCCAAAAACCTCTCCCACGCCAAAGGAGGCTCCTTGATGACCTCCTACTTGAAGATTTTGCCCCTCTTTATGATGGTGATGCCAGGCATGATCAGCCGGGTTCTCTTCCCAGGTCAGTGCCAAGGGAGAGGGCTGTTCCCTCTTTCTGGCTGTGCTACTCCACACAGCTCAACAGCCTTTACTGAGTAAGTTCAAAGGTTCCAATGCATCAAATTCCCAATGTATAAAGAGACTTTCTTTCAGTTATGAGATGGAGGATGCAGATCCTCCTCCAGCAGGCCCAGACATCTCCGTGTTGAGATAACCCTCTGCCATTTGCTGGAAGCTTCCCAACCTTCCATTATTTCCCTTGGAAAGCTGTTTACACCATTCAGCAGAGTAACTTGTTCAGATACACTGTTGATTGTGGCTGTGGGTGTTGCCTCTCACCCCCTATTGCTTGTTTCAGATCTGGTGGCTTGTGCAGATCCAGAAATCTGCCAGAAAATCTGTGGCAACCCATCTGGCTGCTCTGACATTGCCTACCCCAAGCTGGTGCTGGAGCTGCTGCCTGTAGGTAAGAGCTTGCAGATGGCTCTTACACTGGTGAGTTGGCACAGGTGTCTGTGAGGAGTTCAGGGAGGAAAATGCTCTGAAACTGTCATTTCAGTGGGTTCTGTGTTGGGTTTGGTGGGACATCAGGCAACAGGGGAGATGGGGATAGTCTTGTATCCAGATGTCTCCAACAGTCAAATTGGGATGTCTAACAGATGTCTAGCAATGAGGATCAGCTGTCAACACCTATCTCTGTCATTTTAAATTGGAGCTAAAACTAGATTTAGATTGTTCTAGCTGACAGAAGACCTCAAGACCATGCTGCGTGGGTCCTGGGGATCCTTCAGCAGCTCTGCTTCTCCTTCTGTTTCCAGGACTCAGGGGCCTGATGATGTCAGTGATGATAGCAGCTCTCATGTCCTCCCTGACTTCCATCTTTAATAGTGCCAGCACCATTTTCACCATGGACCTCTGGAAACACTTCCGTCCTCGTTGCTCGGAGTGGGAACTGATGATCGTTGGCAGGTACAGAGAACTGGGATGTGTGTGTTATGTCTGAGTCTGAGTGTGAGAGACACATCTCAGCACAGCCTCGTGAGGTGACTTCTTCAGCCTGCACAGCTTTAGTGGAGGGCTAGAATCATGGAACAGTTTGGGTTGGAAGGCTCCTTAAACATCATCTCATTCCACCCCCTTCCCCCAGCAGAGACACCTTCCACTAGCCCAAATTGCTCCAAGCCCTGTCCAACCTGGCCTGGGACACTTCCAGGGATGGAGCAGCCACAGCTTCTCTGGGCAACCTGTGCCAGTGCCTCAGCACCTCACAGGGAGCAATTTCTCTCTAATATCTAATCTAAACCTACTCTCTATCAGTCTGAAGACATTCCCCCTTGTCCTGTCACTCCAGACCCTTGTCCAGAGTCCCTCTCTATCCCTCTTATTGGCTCCTTGAGGTCCTGGAAGGCCTCAATTAGGTCACCCCAAAGCCTTCTCTTGTCCAGGAGGAACAATCCCAACTCTCTCAGCCTTTCCTCATAGCAGAGGTGTTCCATCCCTCTAATCATCTTGGTGCCTCCTCTGGACTCACTCCACGTGGAGGTCTTCATGCAACATCCAGCTGGAGTGTCCCACAATGAGCAACTGGAAAAGAGCATCCTGATCTCATACTAATGATGTCTTTGTCTTGCCAAGGGTCTTTGTGCTGCTGCTCACTGTGATCTCCATCCTGTGGATCCCACTGGTGCAGGCTGGCCAGGGTGGGCAGCTCTTCATTTACATCCAGTCCATCAGCTCCTACCTGCAGCCACCTGTGGCCATGGTGTTTATCCTGGGCTGCTTCTGGAAAAGGGCAAATGAAAAGGTAATGACCACTGTGCTCAGCATGTGGCCTCTGTGGCCTCATGAGGGTCCTGTGGTTCAACCCACCACCCCAGGCTGCAGTTCTGCTGCCTCTTGTCGTGTTGGGGAGAACAAAAACACCCAGGTGTCTGCACAACCCAAGGAACCATCGTTGATATGGGAGGGAGTAATTCCTGCTCGGTTCTAAAGTCACCACTGTCATTTCCAGGGGAGTGACATGGCTGAGTTGCTCCACTGCTGGATGTCCTTCACAAATCTTGAAGTCTGTTAGGAGCTTATTAGCCATCAGCTTGTTTATTACATGGACTTGTGCTCTCTGCATCAGGAGGGTTACCCAAGGCACAAATGTCATCAGGAGTCCTAAACTCCAGGTTCTCCACAAAGAAGCCCCTGAATGGAGCTTGGGGCAACCTGGTCTGGTGGAAGGTGCCTGCCCATGGCAGGGGCTGGAACTGGATGGTCTTTAAGGTTCTTCTAACCCAAACCATTCCAGGATTCTAAGGCTGATGCTGGGTAAAGGGTAAAGTCTTCCCAAGTAGTGGAGAGTAATTGACAGCTCCAAGGGTTTAGGCAACCATTAGGATACAAAATCACTCTCCAGAATGTTTTGGTATGAGATGTTAACCTTCCCCTCCAGGCTAAAATTAATGACCCCACAGAGCAGAGGTTCCTGTGTGACTGCTGTACCAGGACTGGCAGCCCTGGGCAGCAAGAACAGACACGGAGGAAAAGGCCACAAAAAAAAGTCTGTCTGGAGACAGCCTGGACAGCCTGTAGGCTGAGAAAAGCCCTGGGGCCTGGGTGGATGCCACTCCTGGCCCCAGCACGGGACTCCCTTCTGTTCCAGGGCGCGTTCTGGGGCCTGGTGCTTGGGCTGCTGCTGGGCATCGTCCGCCTGGTGCTGGACTTCATCTACCCCGAGCCGCAGTGCGGCCAGGCCGACCTCCGGCCCGGCGTCCTCAAGTACATGCACTACCTCTACTTCTCCATGGTGCTGGCAGCTGTCTCCACCCTGACCATGTTGGTCGTCAGTGTCCTCACTGAGCCTCCCTCCCCGGACATGGTGCGTCACCTCCTGCTTTCTCACTTGTCAGTGGTTTCCAGGATGTCCCACACTGCAGCCATGGGATAATGTGGGAGAAATGAACTGGATATGGAAGTTTCTGTTTATTCTGTGTTTATGGTCACACCTGTAGCAGCAATTCCTCCTCTACTCCAGCACCTCTGCTGTCATTTCTGATTTGGGTCCCATAATGACACTGATCAATAGTAGATGCTACCAAGAGCTGTTGTTAAGTTCAAGCATGCATGTTTAATCTATGACAAATTAGCCTTTTTCCCTCTATTTTCCAAGAAATTCCAGCTTCTGGGTCATCTTTGCCAACTCTCTTACTAATTTAGCAAGGAACCATTTTTACTGGCAGAAAAGAGAAACCCAGGGCAGAGAGCACTTCTCCTCTGAACAGGTTTGTGCCAGTTTGACTGTTTTCAGTAGATGTACTGAGGCTGCAGAAAGACCTTGAGAGAAGAAAGGAGGGGCAGGGGGGCTTCAGAGGTCAGGCAGCAGCACATCCTCTTGCTTCAAGATGGGAATAACCTGATGCATTTCTGAAAGACCTGGAGAAGTCAGAAATTCCCAGTGGGAGATGCCCAGAGGTGTGCGATCAGTCCAGGTCTCACCTGCCCTCCCAGGAGCAGCTGTTTCTCACCTCCAACCTGAATCTTTCCAGCTTCATGTTGTGCTCATCCCTCTCTGTCCACCCTATCACTAGAACATCCCTCTTTAATGAATCTTTTAGATAGCTGAAGACAATAACCCTATTCCCCACCTGAATCTCTTCTCTGAGCACCCCCAGTTCTTTGAGCTGTCCCTCCCTGGCCACAATTCCCACTCCTTTTGCTCCTTCCTGCCCTGTTCTCAGCCTGCACCCGGGGATGGTCCCACACAGAAGTGTGTGTGCAGTCCAGACAGTGAAGGCTCCTTCTCCAGAGGTGCAGCTGTGCAAACAGCTATTGTGTTCCAGACAAAACCAACCTGACAGTGGCCATGGCCTCTGCACTTCAGCTGACTCCTTGGCTGTTCACCTGCTCCCTTGGAGCAGGACAGGTTTTGGCCCCTCGACATGTTCTCTCTGCAGGCAGCTCTGGGGCTGAGGCAGCCCTGAATCCACCCTGACAGCAGCTTTCTTTAACACCACTCTTCATGCCATCAGATAAGCCGACTCACCTGGTTCACACGTGGGGACCCTCCGGCCAAGCAGGACGAGACAGTCAGTCCCTGCCCTGCCACGGCCAAGGGAGCGAGTGAAGCTGAGCACCCTGCTCTGCACCTCGACCTCAGCACTGCCCCTGACAGCAGTGCTGATGGCAACAAATGTAAGTGTGGCCAGCAGACCCACAGCTCACAGCCCTGGGCCTCGAGCGGCTTTGAAAACAAGAAATGCTAAAACTGCTTCCTCTGGAATTCTGTAGCCTCAGGGTGTGCTGAAAGAATCATAGAATTATAGAGTAACACAATCTCTGGGTTGGAAGGGAGCACAAGTATCACCAGTCCAACCCCTGCCCTGCCCAGGACACCTGACAATGCACCCTGTGCCTGAGAGCATTGTCCACTCTCTGAGCTCCGTCAGGCTTGGGGCTGTGACCTGGGGAGCTGTTCCAGTGCCCAAACACCTCTGGGGGAAGAACCTTTTCCTAACATCCAGCCTAACCCTCCCCTGACACAGCTCCAGCGGTTCCCTGGGTCCTATCACTGGTCACAGAGAGCAGAGTTCAGTGCTGCTCTGCAATGTCCCTGGGGAGGAAGCTGCAGGCAGCGACAAGGTCTGACCTCAGTCTCCTCTTCTCCAGGCTGAGAAAGGCTTTACCTGACATTTTTCCTAAGCAGGAGTTTAGTTTTTCTGGCATCTCTCTTGAAGCCAAGCTGCTGGATGGGACAGAGCCATGCCTATTATCCAGTGACCAGTGCTCTGGCACCTGCTGCCAGGAGAACTGGCTGGAAAAGGGGAGAGGGGAGGAAATCCACAACTGCGTTGATGGAATTCCATTTCTGTCTTTCAGTGGTGTTTTCTGGTCATCCCTGGCAGCAGGGAGAGCACAGAGCCCTGGGCTGAGTTCTTGACAGATCAGTGAAGGAGGATTTACGTTTTTAAACTTGTACTTGTTGGTATTAGGTACAACCATGAGCAGTAACTCACTGTGATTCTCCAGTGAGGACTTGCCTTGCTTTTGCCAGGCTCAGCACACTGTTTATGTAATGTTGCAGCTTTTGCTGCCTCTTCCTTTGATCTATAAAAAGCTGTTGTAAGTCAATGAGTTATGGCACAGCTCTCCTGGCTGCTGGGAAGTCTCAGCTTGTTGTGCATGAGCATTGCCTTCCCAGCACTTAGGTTTGGTTTACTGCTGCTGTGGCTTAAAGTGTTGGGAAAAGCAGAACCTGAGCTCAGAGCTGCAGGGAGGATGGGATTGGCACTGCAGCCCCCAGAGATGCTGACCGAAGGGCTCCCTACACTTCAGCACAGGGGGAGTGTTCATTTAGGGACCACTGGTGTGTTTCTGCATCAAACCTCTTTGCACAGGAGCACGAGGCAT